GGATCAGGCTCCTCAATTCACTGACCCCTCTATCACAACAACGAGCCCATTTCCTTGGGCAGATCTCTCCCCAGKGAGTGACACCGAGCACTGTGATGGGATATTCTGCCCCCTCAGCAGACACAGCACTTGTCTCCTCGCTGGGTTATTCCAGTTTTGCAGCCCCTCCTCTCCCCAAACCCCTCTGAACTCACGGATCTCTTGTTGAGCTGGCTGCTGTCGTAGCCCGTGGTGATGTCCCGGACATGCAGGATGCTGTAAGTGCCGCAGCATTTGGGGTACGACTGAGGGCCCTCGAAGTTCCTCAGCCTCTCAAATATCCTCTTGATGGTGGCAGGGTCATAGCACAGGAAGTAGGAGGTCCTGGATATGTGATATCCATACCTGCGTGCAGAGGGATGGTTTCAGTTACAGGATTCACAAGGTTTTGGCACATTTGGTGTCAGAGATGTCAGTACAAGGCTCAGTTGTGACATAAATGTGATTGTTTTATTGCTGGGATTGTGTGGCAGTCAGACACAGACCATTCTTTCCACCTCTGCTCTGTTCCAGATCCCTTCTGGCACTGGGAACCATTCCCTGGGTCCTGTCCCTCCATCCCTGGCCCCAAATCCCTCTCCAGACCCTTTAGACACAATGCTATCTGCACTAGTGATGGGATGGAACCCATCACACATCTAAAAAACCAAACCCACCCATTTACAATGAGAAAACATCTGAGGGACACATTAAAAATATTCATTAGATTATTCCCCGCTCTAAAATAGCAGAGTAGAACATTGTGGTGCAAACCAGCACTCACGTTTCATAAATGTCCAGGAGTTTGTGTGCCAGGCTCAGGTTCTGGCCCTGTAGATAAGTTGCCATTTCAGCAATGACCACGGCTGCACTCACCCCGTCCTTATCCAGCACTGATGTGCCACACATGAAGCCTGGGGAGAAAGAAGTGATTGTTCAAAAATAACCCCTGTTCAAAAATAACAGATTATTGCACTGATTGGCTTGAATGAAGTTTTAACCTTTGATCCTGGGAAAGAATATGGGCCAGTACAGGGAGCTGCTTTAGTGATGCATATGCAGGAGAAATCGAATTAATTTAGATTAATTGGGGGTTATAGGGCTGGAAAGACAAGCACAATACCAGAATCAGATATCATTTATTATGGGAGTTGGCAAAAATTAGATGAGAGCAAAATACCAATGTTATTAACTATTAGGACAAAAATAAAGTACTTTTTGTGTGTTTTATTTCATAACTAAGATCAGTCCTTCCTATTCACATTCCCCCCGCCCCCCAGTTCTCAGCAGTTTAAAGGGATTTTAGCACTCATACCAATAGACTCCTCAAAAGCAAAGAGAACTTCATTTCCATTATCGAGGAGATTTTTTACTCTGCTGCCAATCCATTTAAAACCAGGGAGTGTTTCCTAAAACAGGGGGG